TCTCCCGTTGCGGAGCACAGGCTCCGGACGCGCAGGCTCAGCGGCCATGGCTCATGGGCCCAGCCGCTCCGCAGCATGTGGGATCTTCCCGGACCGGGGCACGAACCCGTGTGCCCTGCACCGGCAGGCCGACTCTCAACCACCGCGCCACCAGGGAAGCCCCTATAGTAAGTCTTAAAACTGGGTAGTGAGTACTACAAATTTATTCTTTCTAAAAATCGTTTTAGGTTTTCTACTTCCTTTGCAGTTTCATGTCAATATTAGAATCAGTTTGTATCTACAACAAATCCTGTTGAAATTTTGATTGGGATTACATTTAATCATGACTAATTTTCTGAGTGTTGACATCTTTATTAGGTTGAGTCTTCCAATCCACAGACACAGTATTTCTCCCTTTATTTAGATCTTTCTTTTATAATTTTGTGGTTTTCAACAGACACATTCTTTGCATATATTTATAAATTGATACCTAAGTATTTTATTTTTTAAAGCAGTTGTTAATAGTATTTTATTTTTAGTCTCAGTATTAATGTATTCATTACTAGTGTATAGAAATAAAATTTATTTTTCTGTGTTTACCTTATGTCCTGCCACCTTACTGAACTCATTTATTAGCTCTAGGAATTTTTTTTTGGTAGATTCCTTGGCATTTTCTACATAGACAAGCATGTCATCTGGAAATAGGGACATTTTTATTTGTTCCTTTCGTATCTATATGTTTTTTATTTCCTTTTCTTGCCTTATTGCACTGATTCAAACTTCCAGCACTATGCTGAATGAATGTTGAGTACAGACACATCTGCCTTGATCCCAGGCTTAGTGGGGAAAGCATCTACTCTTTCACCATTAAGCATAATGTTAATTACAGGGTTTTTGTTTTGTTTTGTTTTGTTTTGTTTCTTTGCAGATGTTATTTATCAATTTGAGGAAGTTCTCTTCTATCTCTTCTGTGTGTTCTGAGAGTTTTCACCAAGAATGGGTGTTGAATTTTGTCAGCTCCTCTTTCTACATCGATTAATATGATCATGTAGTTTTTCTTCTTTGATCTATTAATATGGTAAATTACATTGATTGATTAAAAAACCCCTGGAATAGTATCCCTGGACTAAACCTAAGTTGGTCATGGTGAAAAATTCTTTTTATAGGTTGTTGAATTATATTTGGTAATATTTTGTTAAGGATGTTTGCATCTATATCATGAGGAATATTGGTCTATAGTTAGCTTTCTTTGTTACTGTTCTTTGTCTGGTTTTGGTATCAAAGGAATGCTAGCTTCATAAAATGAACTGGGAAGTGCGTCCTCCTCTTCTGTATTCTGGAAGAGATTATGTAGAATTGGGGCTAATTCTTCTTTAAACATTTGGTAAAATTCTCTTGTGAAGTCTTCTGGGTCTGAATATTTTTTTGAGACTTTTAATAGTACAGGTTCAATTTCTTAACAGTTACAGGGCGATTTCAATGATTTGTTTCATATTGAGTGTATTGTAATTTATGGTTTTTAAGTACAGTAGTGCATTTCATGTAAATTGTCAAATGTACATACGTGTATTAGTTGTTCAAAGACGTTCTTTTGAAAAATCTACAGGATTTTGTAGGGATACTTCCTCTTTCCTATTCTTGGTAATTTGTCTCCTCTTTTTCCTTCTTTTCAATTGTGCTAGAGGTTTTTTCAATTGTATTTATCTTCTCAAAGAACCAGCTCTTTGTCTTATTACTTTTCTCCATTCTTATTTTTGTTTTAAATTTATTATGCCCTTTGTGCTTGCTTTGGGCTTATTCTTGGTCTTCTTCTTTTTTTTTTTTTTTTTTTTTTTTTGCGGTACGCGGGCCTCTCACTGTTGTGGCCTCTCCCGTTGCGGAGGACAGGCTCCGGACGTGTAGGCTCAGCGGCCATGGCTCACGGGCCCAGCCTCTCCGCAGCACATGGGATCTTCCCAGACGGGAGCACGAACCCGTGTCCCCTGCATCGGCAGGCGGACTCTCAACCACTGCGCCGCCAGGGAAGCCCTTGGTCTTCTTTTTATAGGTTGCCACAATAGGAGCTAAGATTCTCATTTGAAAATGTTTCTCTTTTCTGATACATGGTTTTAGTGCTATAAAATTTCCTCCCAGCACTGCTTTGGCTGTGTCCACCATTTTGATATATTGCATTTTCATTTTTGTTCAGTTCATTTTTTTTTTTCCCTTGAGACTTCCTCTGTTCTATGGATTATTTAGAAGCATTTGGTACTTGCCTGGTTGTCCAGTGGTAAAGAATCTGCCTGACAATGCAGGGGCTGTGGGTTCGGTCCTTGGTCAGGGAACTGAGATCCCACATGCCATGCGGCAACAAAGCCCATGTGCACCACAACTACTGAGCTTGCGTGCCTCAACTAGAGGAGAGAAAACCTGTGTGCCACAACTAGAGAGAAGCCCGAGAGCCACAATGAAAGATCCCGCATGCTGTGACGAAGACCTGGCGCAGCCAAAAATAAATTAAATGAATAAATAAATAGTAAATAGAAGCATGCTGTTTGGTGTCCGAGTGTTTGGATATTTTCTTCTTATCTTTCTGTTAGTGATAAGAGAATACACTGTATATGATTTCAGTTCTTTCAAATTAGTTATTTTAGGGAATTCCCTGGCGGTCCAGTGGTTAGGACTCTGCGTTTCCACTGCAGGGGGCACGGGTTTGATCTCTGGTTGGGGAACTGAGATCCTGCAAGCCACACAATGCGGCAAAAAACCACCACCACCAACAACATCAAATTAGTTATTTTATGGACCCAGATGTTGCCCATCTTGGTGTATGTACTGGAAAAGAATGTGTCTACTGCAGATGTTGATTGGAGTGTTCTATAAATGTCATTTAAATTCTGTTGGTTAATTGAATTGTTGTGTTCTTACTTATTCTTGCTGATTTGTTTTTTACCTAGCTGGTCTGTCAGTTGTTGAGAGAGGGGATATTGAAGTCTTTATGTGGATTTGTCTGTTTTTCCTTTCAGTTCTGTCAGTTTTTGCTTCACATATTTTTGCAGCTTTGTTTAGTGCATACACATTTAAGGTTGCTACATCTTCTTGGTGGATTGATCCTTTTATCATTATACTCTCCTCTATGTTTCTGGTCATTTTCTTTATTCTGAATCTACTTTATCTAACATTAATATAGCCACTTTTGCTTTCTTTTGATAAATGTTTGCATGATATCTTTTCCTGCCCTTTTACCTTCAGCCTGCCTATGTCGTATTTGAAATGAGATTCTCGTAGATTGCATGTTTTCAATTCACTCTGTCAGTCTATCTCTTAATTGGCATATTTAGGCCATTTACATTTAATATAACTATGACTATGTTAATGCTTAAGTCTGCCATTTTAATTTTTTGTTTTATGTTTGTTTGTTCTGTTTTTTCTTGCTTTGTGTTCTTTTTTAAAATTAATTAATTAAATTTATTTATTTATTTTTGGCTGTGTTGTGCCCTTGTTGCTGCGCGCGGGCTTTCTCTAGTTGCGGTGAGCGGGGGCTACTCTTCGTTGTGGCGCACAGGCTTCTCATTGCTGTGGCTTCTCTTGTTGCGGAGCACGGGCTCTGGGCATGTGAGCTTCAGTAGTTGTAGCACGCGGGCTTCAGTAGTTCTGGCTGGTGGGCTCTAGAGTGCAGGCTCAGTAGTTGTGGCACACAGGCTTAGTTGCTCCATGGCATGTGGAATCTTCCCAGACCAGGGATCGAACCTGTTTCCCCTGCATTGGCAGGCGGATTCTTAACCGCTGCGTCACCCAGGGAAGTCCCTTGTGTTCTTTTTCTTTCCTTTCTGTAGGTTAGTTTATATTTTGATTTATCTGTTGTGTTTTTGAGTGTATCTCTTTGCGCTTTGCTCCAAGAAGATTTGCATTCTCCTCTGATGTGAGACGGGTTGCTAACAGGTTGGGACACTCCAGCCGCTATCTAAGTTCTTTCCCTGAATGTGTTAACCCCTGGTTCCAGCCCCTCACTTTCTGGGTGGGGTGGGGGGCCTCACAGTGGTGACCAGATCTCCAGTGGTGGCATTTGCATTTGTCACCAGGACTCAGTGCTGTCTCCGTGTTTGCTGTTGATTCATCTCTGCTCAGATTTTCTAGCTACTTTTGCTTGTTTGTTTGGGGGAGACCAAGGGGGATGGAATAGAATTCCAAGTAATTCTATTACTTGGAAAAAAAAAAAATCTGGAGACAGAAGTGTGTTTGTGCTTCATCCAGTTTCCATGCTGTAGCAGGAGACTCCTCAGACCATCTTGTTTACCATGTTTTTCCCGGAATGCTGGTTCCTTGAGGTTCCTAGTATATTCCGGTACTGTCTATATTTTCTCTTGTTAGAAATAGCTGCTGTTGATGCAAACTTGTGTATATAGGATGGATAAAGAACAAGGTCCTACTGTATAGCACAGGGAACTATGTTCAGTATCCTGGGATAAACCATAATGGAAAAGAAGAAGAAAAAGCATATATTGAATATATACGTATATATTTGCTACACAACAGGAATTAACACAACATTGTAAATCAACTATACTTCAATAAAATTTAAAAAAAAATAGCTGCTATAATAGGGCTTCCCCGGTGGCGCAGTGGTTGAGAGTCCGCCTGCCGATGCGGGGGACGCGGGTTCG